GCACGCCGCAGTGTCCTGGAGGTGTACAGGTCCTGCAGAGATGGGAGTCTGCAGCCAATCACCTTCTCAGCAGAGCGCACAACACGCTGCATTCTCTGTTTGTCCCTGATAGTGGCTCCAGCGTACCACACGGTGATGGAGGAGGTGAGGATGGACTCGATGATTGCAGTGTAGAATTGCATCATCGTCCGTGTTGGCAGGTTGAATTTCTTCAGCTGCCTTAGGAAGTACATCCTCTGCTGGGCTTTCTTGATGACGGAGGTGATGGTGGGCTCCCACTTCAGGTCCTGGGTGATGGTGGTACCCAGGAAGCGGAATGAGTCCACAGAGGTGATGGGAGTGTCAGTCAGGATGATGGGGGGGAGTGGGGCTGTGTGCTTCCTGAAGTCCACAATAATCTCCACTGTCTTCTGGGCATTCAGCACCAGGTTGTTGTGGCTGCACCAAGACACCAGACGTTCAACCTCCCTCCTGTAGGCAGACTCGTCCCCGTCTGAGATGAGCCCAATGACGGTGGTGTCGTCTGCGAACTTGATTAGCTTGACAGACTGGTGGGTGGAGGTGCAGCAGTTGGTGTACAGGGAGAAGAGCAGAGGAGAAAGAACACAGCCCTGAGGGGAGCCGGTGCTGATGGTCCGGGAGTCCGAGACATTCTTTCCCAGCCTCACGTGCTGCTTCCTGTCCGTCAGGAAGTCAGTGATCCACCGGCAGATGGGATCAGGCACATTCATCTGGGAAAGCTTGCCTCGGAGATGGTCTGGAAGGATGGTGTTGAAGGCAGAGCTGAAGTCCACAAACAGGATCCTGGCGTAGGTTCCTGGGGAGTCCAGATGCTGCAGGATGAAGTGTAGGGCCATGTTGATGGCGTCGTCTACAGACCTGTTGGCTCTATATGCAAACTGCAGGGGGTCCAGGAGGGGGGCCGTGAGGGTCTTGAGATGGGAGAGAACTAGGCGCTCAAATTACTTCATGACCACAGATGTCAGAGCCACGGGTCTGTAGTCATTTAGTCCAGTGATCCTAGGTTTCTTGGGGACAGGGATTATGGTAGAGGACTTGAAGCAGGCAGGCACATGACATGCCTGCAGTGAGGAGTTGAAGATGCCAGAAAACACTGGGGCCAGCTCGTTTGCACAGTGTCTGAGGGTGGCAGGAGACACACCGTCTGGGCCGGGAGCTTTCTGAGCATTCAGGCTCCTAAACTGCTTCCTCACATCTGCTTCATGAATATGAAGAGTTGTGGTCGGAGGAGGTGGTGTGAAATCCTCTTTTGTGTGGGGTGAGGGGGCGGGTGTTGCAGGTGAACAGTTTGAAGGTGGTGATGGCTCTATGGAGGGGGGAGAGGTGGGGGAATGAGTGTCCAAAGTGCCTCTATTGTTGGGGTCGTTGAAGGTGTGAAGGCTGCCTGATGGCTCGTCAAAACAGCAGTAGAAGTCGTTAAGGGTGTTGGCTAAGAGCAAGTCATCAGTGGAGTGGGGGGTTTTAGGCTTGTAGTTTGTTATATTCCTAAAACCTTTCCACACAGAGGCCGAGTCATTCTCTGAGATCTGCTGCTGCATCTTCTCAGAGTGCTGATGTTTGGCAATGTCCACTTCTTTAGTGAACCTGTACTTGGCCTCTCTGTAGCAGTCCCTGTCTCCGCTTCTGAACGCCTTACTCTTTTCCAGCCACAGCTTTTTGAGTTTAGGAGTAAACCAGGGTTTGTCATTGTTATAACTCACCCTGGTGCGTGATGGCACAATGCTGTCCTCACAGAAGTGGATATAGGAGGTGACAGTGTCCGTAAACTCGTCCAAGCTGTTAGAAGCAGCCTTCATTGTGTCCCAGTCTGTAGACTCCAAACACGTGCGAAGCTCCTCCACAGCCTCGTTGCTCCACAGTTTTTTAGTCCTCACGACAGGTTTGGAGAGCTTCAGCCTCTGTCTGTACGCGGGGATTAGGTGGATCATGACGTGGTCAGAAAGTCCGAGTGAAGCGCGGGGCACCGCGCGATAGGCCCCGCTGATCGTACTGTAACAGTGGTCTAATGTTCTCTCCTCTCTGGTCGGGCATTTAATATGCTGCTTATATTTTGGAAGCTCATGGCTCAGATTGGCTTTGTTAAAGTCCCCAAGAGCAATGATGAGAGAGTCCGGGAATGTCCGCTCCGTGTGGAGAATCTGCTCCGCGAGTGCGCACTGAGCTGCCTGTGCATCTGCGTCTGGCGGGATGTAAACAGCGGCCAGGATGAATGAAGCAAACTCCCGCGGAGAATAAAACGGTTTGCAGTGAATAAAAAGATATTCCAGAGAGGGAGAGCAGTGCTGAGCAATCACTGTTACATCTGTGCACCAGCCACTATTGATGTAGAAGCAGACACCTCCACCTTTGGTTTTACCGGAGAGAGCGGCCTGCCGGTCCGCGCGCAGCAGATGAAAGCCCTCCAGCTTGAGCGCGCAGTCCGGGATGTCCTCACTGAGCCACGACTCCGTAAAACATAAGACACAGGAGGAGGCAAAGTCTTTGTTCATGCTTCTCATCAGGGCCAGTTCGTCTATCTTATTCCAGAGTGAGCGTACATTAGAAAGGAAGATCCCAGGAAGGGCCGTTCTCAGTCCGCGTTTCCTCAAACGCACGAGTACGCCGGCTCGCTTACCTCTCTTTCTACGTCTCACTTTCCTGATCAGAGTCAGCAGTAAATCTGCCGCAGATGTGACAAATATTGGAAATAAATCCACAGGCGTTGTAGTCCTGCAGTTAAGGAGCTCTTCTCTGGTGTAAGAATATCCAGAGGAGTGCCCAGACACAGAAGAAATGCACAAAAACGCAAAAACAAGACAAAAGTAACGCACTGAAGCACCAGGGCATCCATACGCGGCGCCATCTATGTATTTCAAACGCTCCACCATCATCCCTGTTCCCAAGAAACCCACCATCACAGGACTGAATGACTACAGACCTGTCGCCTTGACGTCTGTGGTCATGAAATCCTTCGAACGACTGGTGTTAGCCCATCTGAAAGACATTACAGGCCACCAGCTGGACCCTGTGCAGTTTGCCTACCGGGATCGTTGAGTGACTACCCATCAGTGTTTTCAGCCAAATCAGTGAGTGCTAGTCTGTCGCTGTTCAGTTGTGTGTTAACGGCTGCCTCTGTGGATTTTCCAGCAGGAGTGCGGGAACAGGAGGGCAGCAAGCAGCAAGTATCATGGGAGCGGAGACACGGAGCAAGAGCACTGAGAAGAAGACACGGCGGGAAACTGTTCTTGAAGTACACTGAGAAAGAGAGAGAGAGCTGTGCATGTGTCACAATACGGCTGTGTGCAGGCAAAAGTAGGACCCAAACGCAAACTCACAGAGACAAAAGGTAAACTCAAAAAACACAGCTTTATTGCTGGCGTGGAGTGGGACAGGTAAAACAATACAAAATAAACTAAACTGGGAAAACTAAAGCTCAAGGAGCCACAGGGAAAAATCACACAGCTATGATGGAGGACGCAACACTGACAAAGAGAAACATGGGGCTTAAATACACTGAGGGATAACGAGGGGGAATGAGCCACAGGAGGAGAGCACAGCTGAGAGTAATTAAGCAGGACGAGGCAAGGGAAGCAAAACTAGAAACATTAACATAGAACAGACTGTGAAAGTAAAATAGGAAACACACTGACGGAACTCAAGACATGTGGACTTAACAGACTGGGGGAGACAGAACATAGGGATCTGAAACATGGAACAGAAAGGCACAGTAGATCAACATAAACATAACAACGCCACAGGGGAAGAGTAAAACTGAACACGATGAACACAGAAACACCAGACCTCTTCACAATAAAACAGGAAACATAATGAGACGTAGACATGACAACCCGAACTTCACAATGTAAGACACAGACATGAAACACATGAAGAGCAGGGGAGATTTACCATAGTTGGAAACACGAGGGGGAAATAATAAGAACTAGAAACACTTAAGCATGATAACAAATGAACTTAGGAACCTGAAGGGCTTACATAAACTAAAACATCAAAATGAACTAAAACTCAAAACACTGGGTCACAAGACCCAGGATCGTGACAGCATGAAGTGTGATTTTATCCTGGTGGAAGCAAAACAGCAAAAGTCAGAGTGAATTCATGACGATGTTTATGTGAAGCGTAGTTTGGATCAGGTTCAGAGATAAAACTAACAGCTTTAGAATCAGCGCAAAAAGGGCGTACACACAAAGCGCGGACCCGCCGAAACATCAGAATCAGTGAGGTGTCGGCTTTCAGACCCGACCGTGTCCGTGCCGTCGGGTAAGAAAGGTGAAATCTCACTGATTCTGATCCGCGGGTCCACGCTTTGTCTTTATGTCTTTGTGCAGAAGCGATGTTCCTGCTTTCATTTACTGTTTTAAATGTTTGGTGGTTGTCAAAATTTTGTGACAAAATACATTTATATAAAAAAATCGATTCAGGATTTTAATGAATCGATATCACGTTATCCAAGCTAGAATCGATTTTAATCGATGAATCGATTATTAAAACCCACCCCTAGTACTGGCAATCATGTATATTTAATTTAGATAATATTCTGGATATTTAGAATTGAGCTATTTGTATATATTAGAACTAGTTCTTAGATTTTGTAACATATTTTATTATTTCATTTAGTCTTTTGGATCGGACGTAACCACATGATAATTTTAATCTCATGAACCTTACAGGTGAGTTCATGCATGAACAGAAAACTCTCTATAATATCTTGAACCCCATCAAGATTAGTTTTAATTATATTTATATGAAATACAACATTTCAGAAAAAGATGACATTTTCTGAGACCAAATGTCTTCCTGCAGGAACACACACACACACACTCAGCAGCATGGACAGCTCCTCCTCCTTCTGCTGCTGTTCCACCGATCTGTTCATCAGGCAGGCTGTGACATCATCATCTCTTTCTTTCTCTCTCTCTCTCACACACACACACACACACACACACACACACACACACACACACTCAGCAGAGCGGTTTTATTTCCACTTGGCTGATTTCTGGCGTCGCATCAGAGAAGAAGAGGAAGGAGGAGGCAGTAGGAGGAGCTGAGAGCAGCAGAGGGAGCGTCAGGTAGCAGATGAACAAATAACCCAGTTAATCAGCAGCTTCATAACCAGCTGAATCCATAAGAAACAGGCTAACGTAGATGTGTCTAGCCTTTGAGGAGAAGGAGATGGAGTCTGAAGAGAATCTGCTGAGTGCTTACCTGCTGCTGTTGCTGCTCGGATCACACTTCACTCTGGTAACACGACCCTGCTTCTATTTATATTCTGCCGAGTGAGGACTCCCTCATGGTATCATGTATTCCGATCTGTTTTGGTGCTTTCTGGTGAATTTCAGTCACAGGCTGTAAAACCTTTTTTCTGACACACTTCCATGTTGGTGAGAAAATGGTGGTGTCAATCGATCTTGATCTGCATCAGAGACCAAATCTGATCATCTTTAAGTCAGAATGTAAATCTGCTTTCTTTGAGATAATTCTGGGTTAATGGTTTTTAGCTACCTTCCCTTTATGCAAGCATTTTTCAGTTATTAATAATTAATCCAGGTCACGTGGTTTTCAGCCCGATAATTAATTTTAGCGGATAAAGCCGTATTATTGCCTTGCTCAGCAGCACAGGTTGATAAAATGGGAACAAATGAAGCCAGATGGAAGTGTTCTGAATGTATTTAATATGTAATCACATTTCTCACATCAGTTAATAATAAGTCTGCTAATAATCCGGATTATCCGATGGATAGCAGCAGATTAGCTTCAGTGTGAGAGTGACATAGACAGAATAGCTTTACAGCTGAAATACAAAGACTGTTAACAGTAAAAATTATAATAAAAGTGGATCTTCTGCTGGACAGTATGGCTATTGAAGGTTTTTGGTACTTTAGCAATGGATTTCTTTTTTAGACACACTGATCCTTGTGAAGAACACATCATATTTCTGTTGTTTTAATAATGTCCTAATTTTCATCGTACCCTCATTTAGGTGGGTCCCTCAACCCCTGAGGAGGGCTGGCAGGTCTACAGTTCAGCTCAGGACTCAGAGGGTCGATGTGTTTGTACAGTGGTGGCTCCTCAGCAGACTGTCTGTTCCAGAGATGCTCGAACCAAGCAACTACGACAACTGCTAGAAAAGGTAATCACAACAGCAGTGGCCTCAAGATACTTTATATTGTAAGGTAGACCGTACAATAATACATACAGAGAAAAAGGCAACAATCATATGACCCCCTATGAGCAAGCACTTTGGCGACAGCGGTCAGCGGAGTAGCACCTGGTCTAGATTTTTACACAGTCGCAGAGACGCTAGATTTTGACAGAAATGCAGCCACGTCTTCATTTGGGAGGGCGCTAGGGGCCCTTCTGACCTGCTACAGCATGGACCCATGAGAATAATGAGCAGAAAGGCAAGACAATACCTGCAGCTGACGGAGAAGCAGAAGTTTGAGTCAGAGCTTATCATCGGTGTCATGTGGTTCTGGATCCTTTGGCACTGCTGGCATGACCCTGATGCACTTCTTGGTCACTTACGTTGGCCGGATGCTTCTGAATGGATGAGAAGCTTGGAATAGAATAGAATAGAATTCAACTTTATTGTCATTGCACATGTCACAAGTACAGGCAACGAAATGCAGTCTGCATCCATCCATCCATTCCTTTCATTCCAGATGACGAGGAATAAGGTCACCATGAGGGATTTGGTTTGCTGTTCAAAAGTCATTGTTGTACATAGACTTAAAGTAAAAAAACAAAAAAAACAACAACTTCTGTTAGTACTGTTAGCACTGCTGCAGAAGTAGGTGATCTGCTTCCAATACCTTCAAACCAAACAGCTCCCACAGCTGACTGAAAAAGCTAAAAATATTATAATTGGAAAATGCTGAATATAATTCTCAAGGGCCTGTCCTTCCATGATGACTTTCTCTTCTTCCTTCTTGGGTTTCTGCTGCCTGAGGTATTCACTGAGCACCTGGTTGGTTGGGGACATCTTCCTGAGGTACTTGTGGATGTTCATTGTTTGATCCTGGACTGTGGTACTGACACTCACTAGACACCGGCCTCCTTTCTTCCACTTAGCATACAGTCTCAGGGTGTTGGGTTCTGGTTGAAACCTTACATGTATGGTCAGGGGCTTTCTGGTCTTGATGTCAGTGGCTTCTATCGCCTCCTTTGGCCAGCCTATTATCCCAGCAGGCTATCTGATCACAGGCAGGGTGTAGGTGTTAATATCCCAGATCTTCTTCTTACCATTAACCTGAGTCCTCAGGACTTACCTTACTCTCTGCAGGTACTTGGTAGTTGCAGCTTTCCTAGCGGCTTCGTCATGGTTCCCATTTGCCTGTGGGATTCCAAGGTACTTGTAACTGTCCTTAATCTCTGTAATTTTGCCTTCTGGTAGTGTGAGCCTCTCAGTTCCGACTCCCTTTCATCTCTTTGTTACCAGCTGACTACACTTTTCCAATCCAAATGACATTACGATGCCTTTGCTGGATATCCTGGTGGTGTGGATCAGTGAATCGATGTCTCCTTCCCTCTTGGCCTACAGCTTCATGTCATCCATGTAGAGGATGCAGCTGATGATTGTTCCATTCCGTAGTTGGTATCTGTAGCGAGTCTCAATGATCTCATTGAGGAGTTTCAGGCCTATGCAGAACAACAGTGGTGGCTTTCAGTGCAGTGACCCCCAAGCTTGGCATATGGCTCCAGCAGATCCCAGGAACAACACCCAACATCTCTGTTCAGAAGAGCAGAGTCCTAGGGACAGCTAAGATACTGCGCAGGACCCTCAAGCTCCCAGGCCTCTGTCAGAGGACTCGAGCTTGAAGGATAAAGACCAGTTGTAGGGGCGAGCGGAGAATATGTTTTAAATATGTGTGTGTATATGACCAATTCAAGGCACTTCTGTTGTGACTTCAACAATGAAGTTATTCTAATGGGAGACTTAAAAAACTGGGATAACAAAAGTGATAGAAAGAAACTGAAATTACAGATACTTTTGGTCTAACACAAATGATCAGTGATCCCACTAGAGTAACAAATCCCTCTATAACTCATAAGACCAGGTGTTTTCTAACAAACCGGATAGAATGACAAAAACATATAACTTTTTGACTGGCTTGTCTGACCATAATGTCATATTCAAATTAAAAAAAGGAAATGACAGGTACCTTAGTGTTTATCAATGATACTGTCCTGTCCAGGTGCAGAATATGAGTCAATCCATTGAAGCGCTAGATCAGCGGTCTCAGAGAGATCTACAGTTTGTGGAGAAGATGGAAGTTCAGCTGAAAGGTCTGGAAAACAAATTCAAACAGGTGGAAGATGGACATGAGAGCAACATTGCCAGACAGTACAAGGTACTTTGCCCACACCATGAAACTGAACAATCCATCAACAACTTTGTGGTCTCTCTCTCTCTCTCTCTCTCTCTCTCTCTCTCTCTCTCAATAAAGAGCAATGAAGCATTTCAAAAAGAAGAGATCACTTGAAGGAACTGAACATAATTTACTGAGATAGAGAACTGCATTGCAGTGGTTTGTATCATATCTATCTAATAGACTCCAATTTGTGCATGTAAATGGAGAGTCCTCTTCACACACTAAGGTCAATTATGGTGTTCCACAGGGTTCGGTGCTAGGACCAATTCTATTTACATTATACATGCTTCCCTTAGGCAGCATCATTAGAAGACATAGCATACATTTACACTGCTATGCTGATGACACCCAGCTCTATCTGTCCATGAAGCCAGATAACACACACCAATGAGTTAAATGGGGCGATCGTGGCTCAACAGTTGGGAGTTCGCCTTGTAATCGGAAGGTTGCCGGTTCGAGCCCCGGCTCCAACAGTCTCGGTCATTGTGTCCTTGGGCAAGACACTTCACCCGCTGCCTACTGGTGGTGGTCAGAGGGCCTGGTGGCGCCAGTGTCCGGCAGCCTCGCCTCTGTCAGTGCGCCCCAGGGTGGCTGTGGCTACAATGTAGCTTGCCATCACCAGTGTGTGAATGTGTGTGTGAATGGGTGGATGACTGGATATGTAAAGCGCTTTGGGGTCCTTAGGGACTAGTAAAGCGCTATATAAATACAGGCCATTTACCATAAACTGCAGGAATGTCTTAAAGACATAAAGACCTGGATGACTGCTACTTTCTACTTTTTAATTCAGATCAAACTGAGGTTATTGTACTCGGCCCTGAAAATCTTAGAAATATGGTATCTAAGCAGATTCTTACTCTGGATGGCATTACCTTGGCCTCCAGTAACGCTGTGAGGAACCTTGGAGTAATTTTTGACCAGGACATGTCCTTCAATGCACATATTAAACAAACACTGGAAATACTGCTAAATGTTCAGTTTCTATGCCATATGTTAAAACAAGATCTAGAGTGTGATTAAAGTAGTGGGTTCTTTTACATTTTGAGAGAAGCCAATTGAGTCTAATAACAGATTAAATGCCATGTTAAGGCTCATTTACATGGATGTTAAAATCACCCACAATAATTATTTTATCTGAGCTGAGAACTAAATCAGATAAAAATTCTGAGAAATCAGACAGAAACTCTGTGTAAGGCCCAGGTGGACAATAGATAATAACAAGTAAGACTGGTTTCTGAGTTTCACAGCCGGGGTGTAGTGATTGGATTTCTGGCTCTTTTTGGAGAACCGGCTCTTTCGGCTTGGGGCACTAAAAACAGCCGGCTCTTTCGGCTGCCAACCGGCTCTTCCGGTTGTTTTGTTGCTTTAATTAATTAATTATCAACAACAACATAAAATTATGCACAAAAGAAATTACTAATGTAAAAAAAAAACGTGGATTTATTTATATGATTACATATAAATATATATGGTGGCCCCTAGAGACAAAGCACGCACAAACTCCAAAACACATTTCTAGCATTAACTGAACTTCCAAAACAGAGCTACTAGATCACTTAAATTACACAATTGAAAGCATATGTGTATTGTTTGTGTATTTATACACAAGCACTCATATATATTCAAATAATTAAAAAGAAATGTTCATTTACCTGTTACTACCACACACCAAATCCGGTCGTTGGTACTTCCTGGCTTGTGTAGCCACTAGGTAACAAAAGCTCAACACTGCGCCTAGCATTCTGGAGCACTTCTGTTGTGTTTTGTACGTGTTTTGGAGTTTGTACGTATTTCTGAGTTTGTACATGTTTTGTCTCTAGGGGGCCACCGTATATATACTTTTATTTATTCACTCCACATAAAATGTAATAAATAAATCTTATAATACAAAAAACAACTATTTACATTTCAACTTTTAACTACTTAAATTTTCAGCTTTTTCCTTTTAAACAAATTTAAAGTGAAACAACACAAAACACTGCCAACCACAACACAATTAAAATGTGAAAACAAAAAGAAGATGCACATTCTCTGTCATATGGACCTGCATGAATAAACTTTCTGAATCCTTTATCATCTGCAACTGAAAATAGTTGTGGATGATTACTATACCTTTCTAATGTGACGTTGTTGTCCATGGCTCTCTTTCTCTCTCTCTCCCTCCCGCTCTGTTCCTGTGCTACTGAGTGTAACTACCGCCCCTCTTTCCAGCACAAGGCTCGCGTGTGGAGTGAAGTGGAAAAAAGTGTGAGACAGAGGGTGAGAAAAAAACAAACAAACTCACATCGTTCACTTCAAAGATCCAGCTCTAAGAGCCGTTTCGTTCTCGACCGAGACATCACTACTGGGGTGGACAAGGCTAAGCATCAGGCTTTCAAATGAATTAAACGTCTGTCTGGGTCTTTGGTTGATTAATAGGCTGGTGTGAAAAATTGCTGCCACACCTCCCCCTCGGCCTGTGCTTTGAGGTTTCTGGTAGTTAGAATGACTCGGGGGTGTTGATTCATTTAAACTAACATAATCATCCTGCTGCAACCAGGTTTCTGTAAGGCAGAGTAAATCGATTTGTTGATCAATTATTAAGTCATGTAGTAATAGAGACTTGGAGGAGAGAGACCTAATATTTAATAATCCACATTTCACTGTTTTACTCTTTGGTTCAGATGTGGATACTGTATTGTTCTTTCTTTGTGATTTTTTTATGTTTAAGTTGTTTGTTGCTGGTTTTTAGTTTGTTTTCTGTCCGTTTGGGAGCTGACACAGTCTCTATGGAGATGGTTTTTGGGGGGGTAGCAGCAGGAGAGAAGCTGCAGAGAGGCGTGTAAGACTGCAACTCTGCTTTCTGGTCCCAACTCTGGATAGTCATATTTTGGGGGGTTTAATACATTTGTCCATATTTCTAGAAATGAGAGCTGCTTCATCCAAAGTGGGATAGATGCCGTCTCTCCTAACAAGACCAGGTTTCCTCCAGAAGGTTTGCCAATTATCTATGAAGCCCACATCGTTTCTGGGACACCACTCAGACAGCCAGCAATTTAAGGAGAACATGTCTCTCCTGGTCTGATTGGGGAGGGGACCAGAGAAAACTACAGAGTCCCACACTGTTTTGGCAAAGTTACACACCGATTCAATATTGATTTTAGGGACCTCCGATTGGCGTAACCGGGTGTCATTACTGCCAACGTGAATTATGATTTTACTGAATTTATGTTTACCCTTAGCCAGCAGTTTTAAATTTCCCTCAATGTCGCCTGCTCTGGCCCCTGGAAGACAATTGACTATAGTTGCCGGTGTCTCTAGCTTCACATGTCTGAGAACAGAATCACCAATTACCAGAGTTTGACCCCCAGCGGGTGTGTCGCCGAGTGACACACCTCCACCACACACACATGCACACAAACCAAAGCGATGTCATGGCACCAACCGCGGCTCTTTAGTCGTTATAGTGCAGCTCCGCGTGGTTTGGGAAAATAAATTAGAAGTATTTAGCTGAAGTGTATTTTATTTATGTTAGTTCTTTTTTAAACTTGTAGTTCTAAACTGGAAGATTATCATGATATTGAAATATAAAAATAAAATTATATTCTATTATTTTTTTCATCACTCAAAATAAGTGTCACACTCGCAGAAGGCGGTGTACCCGCCGAAACGCCATGCATTTATTGAGACTTTCAACCCCAGGTAGGCCAATTATGGATCTTCGGATCCACATTATGTCAGCAGCTATTCTGCACTGTGAACTATGTTAAAAACAAACACCGCTCACGCCTCACAGATGACAGCTTACAGTCCTGCGTAAAGATGAAAGTGACTTTGTACAGCCCCAATTTGCAGACGCTGTGCGCAGAGGTTCAGGAGCAGAAGTCCCATTGTAAACATATCACGGCAGACCCGACGATGTTTCCATGAACATGCTTTTCAGCATATCTTTATTGACCACTTTTCACACACGGTTGCAGTACGCATACAGCCGGCTGGCTGTAGCTTTTCAGCTCACAGCCCGACACATACCAACACAACAGCACAGATAGCACAGACGTTAAGGTGGCGAGGCGTGACTGCGGGTGCTGCTCAGGTGTGTCCGCCTCCCCTGCAGCGGCGCTGCAGACCACGCCAGGTCTTTTCAGGTAAAATACATATTTAGGCAGAATTTTGCAAATGTCTATCTTTCTTTTTTTAGCAGCATAGTGCTTTTTTCCAATTATTTTTTAAAAACCAGGTCAAGGCTCCAAAAGCCCAAAGGAGATATAAGGGTGGCGTCTCACAACAGTTTTTGTTTGCTACGTGGATCATTTTAGTTCAGCTGGGTGTCTTTCCTTTAAGTGTTCAAAATGTGTTAATTACATAAATAAAATGTAATTTTCTCTGTAGCCCTTCACGGATTTTGATAAGCAACACACCTTAGTTGTTCACAAAAAGCATAAAGGTAAAAAACAATATATACACTGTTATCTTCATTTTAGATGTCAAAAAGTATTTGTGGCTCCCTCTGTTGTCTTTTGCGTGGAAACCGGGTCCAAATGGCTCTTTGGATGTTAAAGGTTGGTGACCCCTGGTCTAGGGTCACCGAAATCAACAGGATTCATTCTGAGGGGCATGGATGTGCATCCAAAATTATAAAAAAAAAAAAACCAAATGGATGAAAGATCTATAAGTCTAAAATTTAAAGTGTGACTTGGTGGCGGTGCTAGAGAAAAAGTCATGTCAGGGGTTCTGGTGATGACATGATGACTTGAATGGGTTCATCAGCTTCTGGCCATGAATGTTGTCAATAATTTTGAAAATATTTCATGCAAACCTTTCAAGATACATTTATTCTAAATTAAAAGTTTGGCCTGATGGTGGCACTAGAGTTTCATTATCAAGGGGCTATTTGTGTATTAAATAAATAAACAAAGTGGCTGACACAAACACTTGGTCAACAATTGTATGTAACCATTTTCTGGAGGCAAATATCCCATGGGGTTGACCCCAACGGTAAAACATGTTAGTAATATTTGAGGAGAATATGAGGGTTAAAAGTAGAGAGGATGTCTGTCTTCCAAAGAGGGCCCAGTGGTGCCAGTGTCCGGCAGCCTCGCCTCTGTCAGTGCGCCCCAGGGCAGCTGTGGCTACAATGTAGCTGCCATCACCAGTATGTGAATGTGTGTGTGAATGGGTGAATGACTGAATGTGTAAAGTGCTTTGGAGTCCTTAGGGACTAGTAAAGCGCTATACAAATACAGGCCATTTACCATTTACCAAAGACAAACTGGGAGCTGGTTCCACAGAAAAGGGGCCAGAAAGCTGAAGGCTCTGCCTCCCATTCTGCTCTTAATTCTGCCCTAGTAACCACAAGTAAACCGGCAGTCAGAGAGTAAAGTGCTGTATTAGGATAATTTGATGCAATTAGGTCTTTACAATATGTTGAACATATGTGAGATTTAAAAGGACATTTGAAAACATCTGATCTAAAGTGTTTTTTTTTTCTGAATGTCTGCTGTTTGTCAGTCCATCAAAGCAAAGATGGAGGAGTTAAGGCCTCTCATCCCAGTTCTGGAGTCCTACAAAGCAGATGCACTGTTGGTCCGCCAGTTTAAAGAAGAGGCAGCGAATGTGACGGAGCTGCTGGGATCATTGCAGGAACAGCTCGGAGGTCTGGACTACCAGGAGCTCCACAGCCGGGTGATAAGCCTGGAGGACCGACTGAAGGCTTGCATGCAGAGGCTAGGTGGGTAGAGGAAAATAAAATCTGAAGCTCATACTATCTTTTCTGAATCAAGAAAATATCTGAACTTGCCTTTGTGGACTAAAGTTTTCAGAGGGCTGGGTGTGACCACACAAAGCTGTGTACATTAAACTCATAATATCTCCTGCAGTTTCTGCAAATTTTCATGTTATTTTGTCCACATGTGCCTCTGTTTGTTTTTTAGCTTGTGGGAAGCTCACAGGAATCTCCGAGCCAATCACCATAAAGACATCTGGATCTAGATTTGGATCATGGATGACTGACCCACTTGCTCCAGCTGGAGACAACAGAGTAAGTCTTAATATGTAACAGTAAATCAAATTTATGAGCATATCATACTGGCTCTCTTCAGTGTTGGGAAGGTTACTTTTAAAATGTATTCCACTACAGATTACAGATTAGATCCCCCAAAATGTATTTTGTAACGTAACTCAATAAGAGTAACGTAATGGAATACTTTGGATTACTTAATATATTATGATGTTTTTTACAACTACATGAATGTACTATTGCTGTGTGATTTATTACTATTACTGAAGGTTACTCGCCATACCAATACCAACTAGATGTTTAAATCTTAATATAAATGAGTAACAGTAGGGTAGACATTAGGTAAGGCTGCAATTTTTGCAGCGATCTCGTATAGAAAACTATTCGGCGCATATATAAAACAGGTCCGCGGCTCCGAACCGTAGTAAAGGGACCTCTGGCTAATACGTCGGGTTCGTGTCGGGCTCGTAGCTGAAAACTAGCTTTACTTTGTTGTCTAGGTCAACTTTGCTAGCGAGAGACAGAGAGAGGCGTTGAAAGGCTGCTCCAACGGAACTTATTTTTTCACGAACACAGTGTACAGTCGAGTCTTAATAGCTTACTTACAACTAGGCTACACTGCCCATGAGACTACATTCTTTACAGCTATGCCTGTAACACTCTGCCTATTGCCTTCTTATTAAGTCATTCTTTTGAATAATAATTTTTAAAAATATTTCTTCACGTCATTATGCGGCCACAAGTAGAGGTGACATGGGCCACGAGACTGAGACACAGGCATTAGACCCTCTTAATGCGTGTTTTGTTTGGGTTTCCACCGGCGTGGAATCACCAAAAATAGAGAGGTGACAGCCTAACATATGAAATAGGAAAAGACCGCCGTGTAATCCATTTATTTCAGCAAAGTAACTGTATTCTGAATACCACATTTTTAAACGGTAACTGTAACGGAATACAGTTACTCATATTTTGTATTTTAAATAGGTAACGGTGGTACATGTATTCTGTTACTTTCCAACACTGGCTCTTTTTTAGCTTAGAGAGTTTTTCGTGTCACTATATGAACACGAATTAGAAGTAACTGGATAAGGATATCTCGGCTGCAGTGGTCATTTTACGATGTTTTGCTATGCATACATTGCATGTCTGTGGAACATAAAGGATTCAAGTTAACAATACAAATAATTATGATTGTTTTTATTTTTAATATTTGTTCTTTTTCCTTACAGGTATGGTACATGGATGGGTACCATAACAATCGCTTTGTTAGGGAGTACCAGTCCATGTCTGACTTCATGATGACAGACAATTTCACCTCTCACCGACTTCCTCATCCCTGGTCTGGTACTGGGCAGGTGGTTTATAATGGATCTCTTTACTTCAACAAGTTTCAGAGTCACACAATCATTAAATTTGACTTCAGCACATCGCTCATCAGCAGATCGCGACAACTTGACTTTGCTGGTTACAACAATATGTACCATTACTCCTGGGGTGGGCACTCAGACATTGACCTCATGGTGGACGAGGGTGGGCTGTGGGCTGTATATGCTACCAATCAAAATGCTGGTAATATTGTTCTTAGCCAGCTAAACCCCAACACCCTACAGATCATCCGCAGCTGGACCACCAACCATCCAAAACGCAGCGCTGGTGAGGCCTTCATGATCTGTGGAACCCTGTATGTCACCAATGGGTACTCAGGTGGAACCAAAGTATACTATGCCTTTTCCACCAACTCATCCACTTATGAGTACATCGACATCCCTCTGACCAACAAATACAGCCACCTGTCTATGCTTGACTACAACCCTCGAGACAGAGCGCTCTACGCCTGGAACAATGGCCACCAAGTTCTTTATAATGTCACACTTTATCACATAATACAGTAACAATCAATATTAGCCACTCTCACATTCAAAAGAAAAAACAAATCAAGACCCCACAATGTTACTGCAATCACAGTACACACGATCCCTTACACAGGATGCTCTGTGGGCCTTTACAAAGTAATGCTCCAAAATTTTATACAATTAAAGAATAAATATGATTTTCCTGAAAACATTAGGTCATATCAAACTATACAACTAAATAAAAAAAATAGAATAAATCCTAAAGTACTCTGACTTTTAGAGGGTCAAAAGAAAATAGAAAATAGTTATCAGGTCAGTTTATTTGCTTCCTGGACAGAGAGTGGTGTATTAGCTACAATTAGCTTAGCTCCATCTGAAGAGAAAAAAAACCTTCCAAAAAGCTGAAGGCTGGGTCCCTGATTCTCCTCTTGTCCACACATTCCTCTCTAACAGAAACTTCATCATCTTAAAAAATGACTCACCTGCATGTGAAATCTTCAGGGAACTGCTAGCCCTGAGATAGAAGAGAGCCCATTCTGAAAGCGGAACCACTAACTTTACAGCCCTTGTCAGTATATAGGTAGTGACTTAAGATTTAGTTCAGGTTTAGAGAAATATTTTGATTGCCAGTATAGGCCTTTAAGGTGTCAGCTGGTGTACTCAAGAGTAGAACCGGGATCAAATCAGGAAACCCGTCTATGTGATGCTGTGTTTGAACACTTCAGGTGCTATTACATTTTTAGACCAGTCCATTAAATATGTCAAAAGAACATAAGAGGAATCTAAGAGAGTGTTGGGTTTTTTTCTGTCATGATGGAGCTAGCTAACCAAACCAAATGTTCTCAGTAGCTGTGCCCCAAAATGTCGGCTGCATCCTCCTGAGGCCACATTTGTAGGCCAATCACGTCACAGCCAGGCAACAAAGGCTGTCCCAATTCGTCGACTCCTTCAAATGCGGCCGACAAATGCATTCTTCATTTCCCTGAATTTGAAGTATGGGTCGGGTGTGTCCTTCGTGGCCCACCATATATCAGAATTCATAGCGCGGCTCAGCCAATTCCAGTTTCCAACAATGGCGGCCGCTACTAAGTTTTAAAATTGCTCTTGTTAATCTTTCTGGGTCACAAAATAAACTTTAGACATATTTTCAGGCGAGAAAGTAGCTGTGTAAACTTCAAATACCTTCTTGGTTTATCAAGACATCGCATATTTGCAAAAGTACTCTGAAGTTTTCGGAGACGTCTGTTACCCACCCACTCGATAGCTAGCCGGGGGGTTCAATGGTCACTCGAGCTGGCGAGAGCAGCAGACTCCCGGCTTCATCGTTTTTAGACCCCCGCTGTCTTTCGCTACTCAGGTTAAACATGATATATAAGTCACTCGGATAACTTAAACATGTAATTGTTTGGCTTTTTTCAGTGTTTTATTTGTTCCGGAGTAAATCGGTTTGGCTGAGATCAAAGTTATTAGATTATTAGATTAAATAAAACTTTATTAATCCATCGGGTGGGTTCCTCCCACCTGGGGTGGCTGTAGCTCTGGTGGCAGAGCAGGTCAGCCACTAATCAGAAGGTCGGTGGTTCGATCCCAGGCTGTCTCCTGGCTGCATGCCAAATATCCTTGGGCAAGATACTAACCCCATGTTTGCCTGCTGGTGGTGGTCAGAGGGCCCGGTGGCGCCAGTGTCCGGCAGCCTCGCCTCTGTCAGTGCGCCCCAGGGTAACTGTGGCTACAATGTAGCTTGCCATTACCAGTGTGTGAATGTGTGTGTGAATGGGTGAATGACTGAATGTAGTGTAAAGCGCTTTGGGGTCCTTAGGGACTGAGTAAAGTGCTATACAAATGCAGGCCATTTACCATTCCTCCGGGATTTTCAAACAGCTGAATAAACGTCAAATAGAAAACTGATTAAACACGGTCGAGAATTTACACCAGTGTCCTGTTATATTTTAGATACCAAGGAGCAGACGGCTGAGTTTATTAAACTTCACAGACACAGCGGTCACGCAAATCTGAATGCTAGACCGTCAGATTTCACAGCCTTGCACTTCCGGCCTTCTCGGTCTTAGAAGGACTTGGCCCACGTATGCCGCGAAGGCCGGGTCCTCCGAAGGATGCAGCCGATGTTTTGGGACACGTTTGTGTAAAGCTAGGCTAAAAGCTAGCTGGAATTCTCAGTACTGAAATACTGCACAAAGCATTGGACTGTTAACTTATGTCATTGACTTCTTTTACTAAATGTTTCTTAAAAATTGTATTTAAATTATTAACTCAGTTGTTTGACACAAATGCACTTAAAATGTGAAACACAGTGAAATTAAAAATTTCACAGTGAGAAAACCCAACATTTTTACATGACATATTTTGATGGACACTGAAGAATGCTTCACAGTTTTTTCAAGATTTATTTTCTCTGCGTAATCTCTTCTGACTGAAGCAAGACCCGCTGTTCTTATTCTTATATCCCTTAACATTATAAATAATAATGTATTTCTTACTGTTGTGTGTTATACAGCAATACAAATGATTGCCTGTTTTTCGCAATACTTCATTCAGTTTTTAGATTTGTCATTGTACCATGTGAAATTCATTAAGATCACTGAGCTATGGGCATAGTCTAACTATTTAAACAATAAGAATTCCTCTACACACTCACCTGTTGTTCTCAATAAGTAATTTGAGTGTTGCCCTGAATGGTAGTTATGAACGCACATGATGCTTGGCTGATACATTGATGCTAAAATCCTCTTTACCATCAAACGTCTTGTCCAGCATCACTTTAGATTCCATGACATCGTGTGATCTGTCAGACAGAAGAACCCAGTACGACGTTTGTGCAAAACAGATGATATGTACAGAAACTGTAGTCTGTTGGTCTCAGTGAACATCAGTTAGCTGATTTCAGTATCACTGGTCTGTGCAGCTTTTAGGTATTTGAGGCTAAGCCTAAAAACAAAGTGACTGCACAACAGTTGTTCTTCATTCTAACACCCGATTGACTTGTAATAGCTTATTTGCTTTTGTTTTCCATATCAGATGATTTTTTTTTTTTTACAGTACTTTAAGTACGTCTTGATGCATGCTCAATCATCCAGGTAAGTAAATCTCCAAAGGTTGATTCTGTGCATCTGGACGTAGCTACGTTCAGATGCACACAATCAACTTTTGGATAGTACTTTAAGTATTTGTTTGTTTGTCTGTCATAAATGTTTGGCGTAAGCAGCAGGTTTTAATTCTACAGCCCCCTTCAAATGTGTAAGATGATTTATTCCGTTTTCATGACCAATAGCCTTAATATGTGATTGTGCTATGGATTTCTTCACCCAACCACTTTTAAAACAAAATTTAAACTAAGAGGCTCAGTTTCATGAACTGTTCGTGAACTCTTCATGTGTCTTTTTAAAGGCTTCATTGATCCCACAAGGCAACACGTTACAGTAACATGATTATGAATAGTACACTCTACAAATACACAACACAGTTAAAATAAAAGTGCCACAGGTAAGGGCCTTAAATTATGAGATAGTACAACAAATATATATATATATATATATATATATATATATATATATATATCAGCAATGAAATACAAAGAAAAATAAATGGGTGATGAACAGTAATAATGGAGAGCAGTTTGTTCACCGACCTTGGACCCTCAGAGGCGTTTAAAAATGCCTCTCACATTCTGATCAATGATGCTTCCAGCTTTGTGGATTGATCTGCAATCAGTGCCAGAGAAGGCAGAAAGCACAGTTTCAGCAGTCATGGCGAAGTAAACAAACATCAGTGAGATCAGAAAGGCGGCAGGTAAGTTCAATGTGGGTGTCATGTTATGGCTGTGTGCAGGCAAGAGAGGACCCAAGACGCAGACTCAGGCGAGGCAAGACGTGAACTCAAAAGCAGCTTTACTGCTGACCGGAGAAAACAACACAGAAACCTAAACTGGGGGAGGGGAATTGATTCCTCCTACGAGGGTAGAAGGAAGGTGCGTGGGCCATCCCACGGGAGAACCCCCGATCCCAGTCTGGGTTGTCAAGGAAGATGCGCTGGCGCCGCCTTCTATAGCAGACTTCTTGCCACTCGTCAGCCATGACGGGTGGTTTTTAATATTCGTTTTATATTCTTTTTCTTTTTTAATTTAAATGAAATGCAAAAAAAAAAATTTATGAATTGTTTTTTCAACTAAAAGTGAAACCCAAAAGGGGCTCAAACAACTAAAAGAGAGCCCAAAGGCTTGAAAATCCCTTAAAATAAAAACCGTCTGTTCAGCTGTTTCTTTTAAATTTCTGCTAAAAAATAAATAAAATAACTAAATAAGGTTTGTTTTTAAACAAAAAGGATACACCCAAAAGGGCTTAAACAACTAAAAGAGAGCACAAAGGCTTAAAAATCCCTAAAAACAAAAGAGCGTGTCTTCTGGTTCAAAAAAAAAATCAAACGTGCCTCAGGCAATGTTTCGACCTTAAGAGGTCTTCCTCAGGCCTGTGAGGCACGAAAGAAAATAAAAACAACTAAAACCCAAGCGCTCAAACCAATGGCTGGCTGCTGGAGATGTGCACCGTTTGGCCGTCGAAAGCAGAACGAGCTCTCTCTCCTATTTGCACTCCTTTTATACCCTCTGGTCTGTAATGCTGTTTGTACCGTCCCTTTTTTTAAAATGTTGTTTCAATGTCCCTGTCTTCTTACAAAATTAGGTTTTGACTTTGTATGTGTTCATGTAATTGTGCTACAATAAATTATATTACATGAATTGGAAAAAAAAAACTTGGATTAAATTATTTAAATTTATTTGTGTTAATGCTTATCTAATATTTGAGTGTATAAATTAATAATTATTCTTTGACAATATAATGATGAATTTACTGTTATTGGTTTAACACTTTTACATGAAATTAATATATTTTAATATTTGTACTTTATAAAATTAATTAGGGGAAAATTTTATCTTTTTTAACAAGTCAAACTCAGAATTAGGGTTAGACATAAAGCCAATTTGGGTTATTAGGGGAAAGGTTAGGGGGAGCTAGGGGAAGGGGACTGAGCCTGCCACCTCTGTGAGGCAGGAAACGCACGGGCCATCCCTCCCGAAGGAAACCCACCCTGCTGGATGTCCCAATTACGGGAAAGCCTCCACCTTTTCCCATATCGGACAACGGTCCAATCACCTGAGGCCATCCGATTAGGGGAAATCAAAGTTGGGAGCACGGTCCCCGATGCACAGACCATACCTGCTCCCATCTCAGGCGTCCAGGACCCCTCCAGTGGAGTTCCAAATGGAATGT